ATAGCAGGACCAAACATATTGACATTAGACATCACTTTATCAGAGACCTTGTAGAAGAGAAGACGATTAAACTGGAACATGTTACCACTGAGCTACAGCTGGCTGACATTTTTACCAAGGCACTTGATGCAAATCAATTTGAAAACTTGAGGGGCAAGTTGGGTATTTGCCAACATGAGGAATTGTAGAAATTAATTTTGCTTAAAACAAGGGTTGAAGGAGTTATTTTTGTTAAGTCTATTTTGATTGGGTTAATCATATGTTTTCCCATTTCTTTCAAAATTATTAAGAAGTTTAATAGACACTCATTTGCCTCCTTCCTCTCTCGACTCTGCAACAAATCCCATTCTCTCAATCAAAGTTTTCTCTCTAGTTGCTACTGGTTTTCTAAGACTATCAAAATGTCTCAAACATCATCCTCATCCAAGACGACCGTTTCATCCTCATCCTCTGATCGAGATTCTCGGGCAATCACATCATGCATGGATTCTGAAGTCCTAGAGATTACTCCTCTTAGAGAAATGGCAACTAACCCCTCCAAGGTCAAAAAGCTGAGAACAAGGCATGCAGGAAGGTCTCAAGCTACTTCATCCGGTAATCCCTCTCAACCTTCATCTTCTGTACCAAATAGGGAAGGCTCAACTTATGTTCATCAAGCAATAGCTAGGCTTGTTACAAGAATTTTGAGTGAGAACCACTCTGTACCTAGGATTTCTGTTCCATTAAATCAAGAATCAGCAAGCCCAAATGTTGAAGCAAATCCAGATGTCTCTGAGAATGTTGAGACTCCAAATGACAACATTCAGAAATCATCTGAAAACCTTGATGATATTCAGAACCCTTCAGAGAAGAATGTTAAACCACCTGTTATTGATGTGGATGAGGAATACTCAGACAATGACCTAATTGCAAATATCAACCCTAGCATAGCTAGGAGAATGATGAACAGAAAGGGTAATCAGGATGCTGCAAAATGTCTGACCAAAGAGAAACCTGCTGATAAGAAAACCAGGTCTGAAGGCAAGACTGGTGTGGAAACTGTGAAGACTGGACTATCTAAAGGGAAGGTGAAAGCCCGAGTACATGCTGGGAGTCTCTCAAAGCCTGTGAGACAACCAATAGCAAAGAAGAGGAAAGAGCCTGAACCTTCTAATTCTGATGAGGAATCATAATTTGAAATTGATGCTGAAGACATTCCTCTCAGAAGGAAACTCCCTTCCAGCAAAATGGCTAGAGTTCCTGAAGTCCCCACTGACAACATTTCATTTCACCACCCTGAAAATGCCAACAGATGGAAGTATGTTTGCTTGAAGAGAATAGCCTTGGAAAGATAACTAAACAATGGTGCCATGGATTGTAAGGAAATCATGGACCTAATTAAATCTGCTGGACTAATGAAGACTGTTGAAAAGTTTACCAAATGCTATGAAAATCTTGTCAAGGAATTCATAGTGAATTTGTTTGATGAATGTGTCGATGGAAGGTCGGCTGACTTTGAATGTATCTATGTGAGAGGAAGAAAAGTTAATTTCTCTCCCTCTGAAATTAACAAATTTCTTGGAAGATCAAATGAGGCTTGCCCTGAACTGGAATTTACTGACAATGAAGTATGCCAAACCATCACAGCAAGACAAGTCAAGTGCTGGCCCTTAAAAGGCAAGCTGAATGCTAGCAAGCTAAGCATAAAATTTGCCATCCTGCACAAGATTGGTGCAGCCAACTGGGTCCCTACCAACCATAAATCAACCATCTCTACAGGATTGGGGAGATTCATTTATGCTGTTGGAACTAGGACTGAGTTTGACTATGGTAGGTATATATTTGATCAAACTTTAAAACATGCTGGAAGCTATGCTGTTAAAGGCCCTATTGCCTTTCCCTCCCTCCTATGTGGAATTGTCCTTGCTCAGTACCCTGACATCCTGGTGGAAAGAGATACTTCCTGCAAAAGAGCTCCTGCTCTTGGGTTACACTACAAGCTATTCCAGGGATCTCATGTTCCTGACATTGTCATGACATCAGCTGAGACATCAACTGTAAAAACTCAGTCCAAGACATCTGATGTTATAGCTGTGCTGAAGGAAACCTGCAAAGAGCTGGAGACAAGGAAAAAGACTCTTGAGAACCTAATTGACAGATTAGAACAGGAGGAGACTGAAGGACAAAGAAGGGAAGAGGATGCTGCTGAAGATCAGCTCAATGCTGAAGAAAGTGCCTCCTCTGAAAATGACAGTGCTTAAAGTTTGGTGGAGTTGACAAGCTTGATGCTGGTTCCTGTTGATGCAAGTGATTTCAGATTTTCATTGTTTTTATTACTCATTTTGGATAACTGTATAACATATAAGTACATGTATCTTTGGCCTATTTGTGGCTAAAGAGGGGGAGATATTTTGTGTTAATTACTTGGTAGACATTATATTTTTCTGCAGACATATTCATTCTGCTGCTCTCTATTCTCTTATTGCTTAGGAGTTTTAGCCAAAAATATACCAAAGGGGGAGTTTGTAAGTGTTTAGTTATTGGCATGTATTTTTGGTAAACCAGGTGTGTGAATGTCATGACTGATGTCATAACATTCTGGATTATTAGGTACTTTATGCAGAAAAAGTATGGCATACAGTAGCTGCTGTTTATGAGTGTGTGTCTGAGCATTTTGCAATGATCACATTTATCTCTTTCTACCAAAATCAGTAAACAGGAATTCTGATGTCATAACAAATGTTAAGACATCCTGTACTGATCTAACAGTTATGCAGTTTGGTTAATTCTGAGATTTTTTAGGAAGTTGGTTCATTCCTTCCAGAACAGAATCTCACGTGGACTTTAGGTTAACCCAGCTCAACCCTAATCTGGTTGATAAAGTCTTGTGACCAAGTCTTGAGGTTAACCCTAATTAACCCTAGCTTTTCGTGGAAGCCCTAACTGAAGAAACAACTGCTTATATATTCAACAGGAAAGCTGATTGGAAATTAACTCTCCTAGACAGAAGATCAATTAGGAGCTGTATAGTTTTAACTGCTGTAATCCAAGCAAGTATCATTGTGATAAGTGACTTGGAATAGGTTTTGATTGTAAGGGTTTGTGTATCAATCAAAGCTTTGAAGCAAGAGTGTTTGTGTCTCTTGACTAAAGTTTTGAAGCAAAGTCAAGATAGGTTTATGTATCACTCAAAGCTGTGAAGCACGAGTGTTTGTGTTACTTGATTAAAAGCTGTGAAGCATAATCAAAGTGTATGTTCTGAAGAGTGTCTTCATTATTTCATTAGTCAATTGTTTAAGTATCACTGCTGTGATTGAGGGGGAGTGAGTAGGAACTCAGGTTTAAGTTGAACTTAGATTGAAGTTGCATTGGGTAGGTCTTAAGTGAAGAAGATAAACTGGTTGGTTTATTCCTGAATTAATATCTCTTATAGTGGATTTCCTCCCTGGCTTGGTAGCCCCCAGAGTAGGTGTTGTTTCACACTGAACTGGGTAAACAATTGACTGTGTTCTTTACTGTTTTTATTTACTGTCTTACAGAAAGTCATATACGGTGTCATAACATTCACTGTGACATTGAGTATCTGCTGCCAGAATTTCAATAATGCTTAAAATAGTAACCAACATTGTCAACTTTTGATCAACCATTTCTTCTTCTTTCCACAAAACCTTTAAAAAATCCTTCCAAAGTCAATCTATTTTTCTACTCTAAATCTTCAGTTTTGTGGTTCAATATATCAAAAGGAGCTCAAGGAAGTGGAATTTAAGGTAAAGTTTAATTGCTCCAATCGTCATTTCTTACATTAATCTGTTTTTCATTGTGGAAAAAGTTTACGCGAAACCGAATGTATATTTCTGGTTTGTAGTTGAACGTAACAGGAAATGCATTTTCAGTTTCTGTATGTGTTTAATATACAATAGCTTCTGGCATGTTCTATGTAAGTGTTAATAAGTTTTTATGTTTTTTATAACATTAGGTATGGTGCATCTCGATAAAATTCTCAAACCTAATGTGTCTTAAGTTGTCTCACCTCTCGTATCTCCCGTGGTAACTAAGGTGGTAGATATTCGTTGAGCATTTTGAAAATGGAGAAGAGTTTGAATTACGTAAAGACATGTTACAGTTGATTCGTAAAGAGGCTACGAAACTAGGATTTGATGTTGTGATTGGAAGTTCTGATAATGGTACAGATAGAAGAAATACATTTGTGACTTTGATATGCGAAAGAAGTGGGAATTATATCCGTTGTATCCAAAAATTGAAACACGATGACACCGGTATCGTAACCGGCAAAAAATAATGAGTTGTCACCATTAATTTTGTCTTAAGGACGAGATTTAACGGATAACCCTAATTCGTACAGAGATTCTAAATTCGTAAGTCAATTAGACGAATGGAAGATTTTAGGCACCATTCATCTTCTTTGTTCTCAAGGAGACTCTTTTTAGGTTTGAGGGTGAAATGGGTATTTGGTAGTTAATATTTCTATATGTTGAGAAAATGATTTAATCTTTTAGTTGTGAACTCGTCTGGGTTTTAACCGCGTGCCTACGTATCTCCTTATGAAGAATCAAAGTCCAATTCCTTAATTCAAATGTGTTTGGTTAGTTTTTTTATGGATTGCGGAAGTATTTGAAATTATCCTTAAACCTTGCCTGAGTTTGAAAATAGCGTAATCGTAGACGCAATTCGCAGTTAATAGAAAATATCTCCACAATCCTTTTTTAAAAATAAATTTGAAATTTAAATTATATTAGTAGAAAAAATATTAAATTTGATAGATTAACTGTGTAAGAAATTATAATGAGTAATAAGTAGGTAGGTTCTTTGACAAGAAAGAGATATTAAGAGATACCATTTTATGTATAAAACCATCTAGATTTTTCTTGTTTGTATTTCTCAGTATTTATCAATTTTTGAACATTATCCTTCCGTTTTCCCTATTAAAGCATATGCTTATCACATGTTTTTCAGCCAAATACCTTGTACACACAACATATAAGCAGTGAACATCACCAAAGATGAGTACGTTTTCTGACAATAAAAAGCCACATGCTGTGTTGATTCCATACCCAGCTCAAGGCCATATCAATCCATTGTTCAAACTAGCAAAACTTCTTCACTTTAGAGGCTTTCACATAACTTTTGTCAACACTGAATACAATCACAAACGCTTGCAAAAATCGAGAGGTTCCAATGCTCTTGATGGTTTCACTGATTTTTGCTTCGAGACTCTTCGAGATGGTTTAACTCCAACGGAAGGCGATGATGGTGATGTTACTCAAGACATACCTTCGCTTTGTAAATCAATCATGAACAACTTCCACCAGTCCTTTGGTGAACTTCTTGCTAGACTTCACGACTCTTCCATTGCTGGTCTTGTTCCACCAGTTACATGCTTAGTTTCTGATTGTTGCATGCCATTTACCATACAAGCTGCTGAACAACATGCACTCCCAATCCTTCTCTTTTTCCCAGCAAGTGCGTGCGCCTTGTTATCTATTTTGCACTCTCGTACATTGATTGAGAAAGGTCTAATACCACTCAAAGGTAACAATTTGTGATAAAGTTACTTGAAGAAGAGTAACTTTTAATAGATTTATTCTGTATAATAATTTGTTATAATTTATGAAGACAAAATTCTTATTTTAGTCCTTTAATTATACTCTTGAGTTGAGTTTATATTGGTCTATTTAATTCTTTTTCGTGTCATTTTAATCTTTAATTTTCAAAACGTTTTATTTTTATTCTTTTGTCTAATTAGTGACGGATTTAGCGATAAATTTTAAAATTTTTTTTGTCGTTAATTAAACAAAAAAAATTGAAATGAAACTTTTTTGAAAGTTAAGAGAACAAACTGAAACAAAAAAAAGTTAAGAGACCAACGTCAACCCAAATATATATTTAAGAGACCAAAATAAATATTTTATCAATAAATTTTATTGATAAAATTTAGTAAAAGTCAAATATTTGTAACTATGTAATTTAACTATCGCAATTTATTTCTATTTTATGAAAATTTGTATAGTTGACGTATTCAATAAATATATAAAGCTTTTAACTATTAACTTATGTAATTATGACATGCAGATGAGAGTTATTTGAGAAATGGATATTTAGACACCAAAGTAGATTGTATTCCAGGATTGTACAACTTACGACTAAAGGATCTACCTGACTTTATTAGAACAACAGATCCAAATGATATCATGTTACAATTCTTAATCCATGTGGCAGATAGAGTTCATAGAGACTCTACTATCATTTTAAATACTTTTGATGAACTTGAGAGTGATGTGCTGCAAGCTCTATGTTCTATGGTTCCTTCTCTATATAACATTGGACCATTACCTTCATTATTAAATCAAATTGGGCCTAATCACTTAGCATCTTTAGGTTCTAATCTTTGGAAAGAAGATACCAATTGTCTTGATTGGCTTGAATTAAAGGAACCTGAGTCTGTTGTTTATGTGAATTTTGGAAGCATTACAGTTATGACTCCAGAGCAACTGTTGGAGTTTGCTTGGGGTTTGGCCAACAGCAAGAAACCTTTTTTGTGGATCATTAGGCCTGATCTTGTAATTGGTGGCTCAGTGATTTTGTCATCTGAATTTGTCAATAAAATTTCAAATAGAGGTCTAATATCAAGTTGGTGTCCACAAGAAAAAGTGTTGAACCATCCTTCAATTGGTGGATTTTTGACTCATTGTGGATGGAACTCAGCCACTGAAAGCATATGTGCTGGAGTGCCAATGTTGTGTTGGCCATTTTTTGCTGATCAACCAACAAACTGTAAATTTATCTGTAATACATGGGACATTGGTATTGAAATTGATACAAATGTTAAGAGAGAGAACGTTGAAAAGCTTATCAATGAATTAATGTCAGGAGATAAAGGAAAGAAGATGAGGCAAAATGTCACGGAGTTGAAGAGTAAGGCATATGAAAACACTGGTCCTGGTGGTTGTTCATACATGAACTTGGACAAGGTTATTAAGGAGGTAATGCTTAAAAAATAATAAATTACCATTAAAGTGATTTGTTTTACTTTAAAATAAAATGATGCACTTAGTTTGAGATGCCAGTTATATTTAAAATGTAAGCCATATAAATATAATATAATATGTTATTTGAGTTCTATAAAAATAATGATTTTTAAGAGCTCTCATCTTAGTAATAAGATTTTGATATAGTAATTATAATGATTTTGGTTTAGAATTCATATGCCTAATATGCTATAATGCTAGCGGTTAGTTACGTGGTTCAATATGATATTGTAGCCGAATCTCATGTCATATTAATCAAATACTTTCACTATTACGAAAAACATTTTTCATAACGATTGAAAAAGAATACAATCACGTCCGACCAACCGCTATGAAGTAAGATGTGATTGTATGTATGATAATTTTCATCACGGATATATGACCGTTGTAATAAATTAGGTAGCGCGCTATATATATATCACAACGGTCAACGTATACAAACGTTGTGATACAAATTGAAAGGTCATGAATTCGAAACCTACCCAGTGATTATATGGTTTATAATATTTTACTCTCTATCTATAACAATGGTTCGTATAAATAATTGATCGCACCTGAGTGAGGTTCAGAGCTAATGCAAGTAAGTGAGTATGAGAGTGTGAATGAATACCTGACCCTCTCAAGTGAGAGGGTATTAATAGCCCTCAACGCTGGGTCAAGGTCTTCAGTGATGAGCCATGATAAGGCCCAACAACGAAGACTGTCAGGGCTTACGTGTGTATGGAGTTCAACACGTGGCCTCCTCCCAGGTCAACCGCCCCGAGAAAGCAAGAGTTGGACCCGTTATTCTCGAAGGGCAGGATGATGATGATATGGACACGTGAGTTGTGTTCCCCTAATGGACACATGGGGAATTGCCCAATGGTCCCCAGCTTGGGCTGCATGTCTTTGGGCCTTAGGCAAAGGCGCTGGATTGGGCCTCCTCAACGGTGGGGCAAGTGTTGGCTCAGAACATGAGACCCCCAAGTTATTGCTCTTAGGTGAAAGGGTGATGACTTAAATTCAGCTTCACTGTCGGGGAAACATCGTCCGAGAGGGGAAATCGTAAGCCTCCATCGGGGATAACTTGTCAACCCGTGTCGAGGATTCCAAAAACACGCGAGTGGCGTGGTCAACCAGATCATTGGTTCGTTTGGTGCCCGTTAGGAATATATAGGATGTGAGGAGTTTCCTCGAGTACTCTTTTTTCGACGTGCCCGTCTATAGGGTGTTTCTACGATGTCGAGTGTCTTCCCCACCTTTGGGAGTGAAATGATGAGAATATGCCCGTATGCAAGGTGTGATGTGGTGGGAGAACTGACTTGAGGTTTTGCGTTTTATCGTAAATGTTGCGGTTAGCAAGAGTCGCCACCGACTTTTCTTTTATCCAAAAGGAAAGGTGAAAAAGCACAGGAAAGACCTTTGAGATTGTTTCTTGAGTTTGGGGGGTAGATTATGAAAAGGAAAGGTATTAGCACCCTTTTCATCCATGGTTTTCTATGGGCTCTTAGTTACTTGCTTAGATCACTTGCTTTTGTTTTGAAATTGTGCTTTGTGTGGTTTTGAAAGTATTTTGTAAAAGAGGCCATTCATTTAGGCAATCTTTGTAATGATTCTCGTTCGCAAGAATGTATACAAAGATGTTTGTCTTTTTGAAAATGTTTTCAATGATTGTAAGATATTTTGAAATGTGTGTGTTTGTTTTTGAAAATAGCAAGGTTTGTTGTTTGAAATAGAGCAAGTAACTAGAAGCCATCTACCTACTCAAATGTCTTTCTTATGTATTTTCTATTCTTTTGACATTGTTGTCTTACCATTGATTTGGTAAACAACCCTATCTTTGGATGTAAACGGGACGGGAGTGGGTCATCGTATAACCATGATTATCAATGTTTGCAAAGTATCTTAGCATTTTGAGGGACCAAGATCATTTTGTAAGGCAACTTTTGAATAGCGTCATCGAGGGACTATGATCTTATATTTGTTTGTTTTGCCAAGATACTTCGCATGCGTAACATGGCCATTTTTGTTTTAGGCAACCAAGTGGAGAAACCCTAAGGGTGCTTGTGTGCAAGTGTATCATTTTCATGCTTTGACTTTTGTCTTGTATTTAGGGTTTTCTATTTTGCTTTGTTTTGTTCTTGTCATACAAACCCTAATAACTAATCATGGCATATAAAGCGATAAATTGCATAATGTAAATATTATTAAGCTATTACAACAATTTATGAGAGGGGGAATACAAATTTGAATGGGGATTTGCAAAAATATAAACCTAAATAAATTATTACAACCAAATCGAATTTGTACGAATTAGAATAAATATAATACAATATTAAAAGAAAGTGCAATGCAATGTACATGTAAAAAAAGATTTTTGTGTCTTGTTTTTATGTAAATGAAAATTTAATCTAAACCTAAAAATATAAGGAAAAAAGATTAATTTTTTTTGAAAGGGGTTTAACCCTAATTATTATTTAAAAGAAAATAAAGTTTTTATATGCATCAATTTATGTATTTTCTTGTATAAAAATAATAAATAATATTGTATATAAATATAAAATTAAATATATGCAAAAATAAGTATTTATAAGTATGAAATGAAAAATAAATTGAACTAAATATGTTTAAATATATTTACAAGTTTATTAAGAAAATAATGGATATCCTATTAAAATAAAATATATTTTTTATGTGAAAAATAAAATAAAAATACAATAAAAGTGCAATATTATTAATTTACATTTTTTGGGATTTTTATGCATTAGAGAAAATATTTAAAATATTAAATGTGAAAATAAAACAAATAAAAATAAAAATATAAACCCTGGCCCAAAAGACCAAGCCCAACCTGCAAAAATATAGAAATGGAAAAGGAAAAAAAGTGAAAAAAATACAAAAGTAGCGCGCAGGTTCGAACCCAGGACATGGGTCTCACCAGCGCGCTACTTTGCCACTGGGGTGGCTATACTTTCATTGTCTTATGGAAAGCAAAAACAATATAATCCAAAACACGCCCTTGCCCTGTACTTCATCTCCTTCCTCACGCTTGGCCAGACACCCTATAACTCTCTCATACTTCCATAAAAATGAAAATTCATAACATGAAAGTTGTAGTACTTGAGCATACGATTCCAACCATATAAGTTATGTGAACTATTAATCAAAGAACAAAGAGAATTTTAATAGCCCTAAATCTTGACCTAATATTTCCAGAAATTTCAAGTTCCAAATTCTCTCAGCACAAGTAAAATCAATGCAAGATAATGGTATGTACAACTTCGTTATGATGAGGACTACATTTTTTATTCACAAATCGTGGCCTATGGTTGCCTGTACAAAGAGATAGAGTTTGAGATTTTACCTCCTTCAGTTGGAATCATGGATGAAACTGGGACGAGTTTGATGGAGGCCTGATGCTTGCTTGAGCTTCCTTGAACTTCCCTGGATGTATTCCAACCCTTGCCTTGCTCTGAAAGTAGCTGGAACTCCTTGGCCAAGTCAAACTGCAAGCTCTGTAGTCAACAATGGCAGATGGTGGAGGAGTGATTACAGAACAGGGATGAAGGCCTGGATTGACTAGGTATCAAGTATGTAAGATGTTTGAATGATCCAAACTCAAAACGCACAAGCCAAATGGAAGATGGATGTGCTTATGAAAAATCTGCAGTTTTGGACAGATTTTTGGTGTTTTGTTGGTTAAGAGTGTTTCAGGTCCTTGCTAAACGTGTTTTATGTTGCATAATGTTTGTATATTAGTATGGAAATGGTTTGATGTCAACCCTCTAGCAGCTGTGCCTGTTTTCACCTTTTTTCCACTTTTCTTGTATATTAGTATGGCTTAGGGTTGATATTTCTCCTTTACAAATTGCCTTAGGTCTGTGGTACTTGTATGTTCCAAGGGGACAGGTCCAATGCTCAAGATTGTAAAGTTTGCAAAAGTTGATCTTTTTCAAAATGGCAATGGAATCTTTTTGCCATAAATGGAATTGCAAGTTGGATAATGATCCTAAGGCATGGATAAAAGCTTTGTCAACTGAATAAGAATTTAATTAAGGAGTGTGGAACAAGTTTAGGACCTGTAAAGCATGGATTAGCCAGCATAGGTACTGATTGCTACTTTGTTCTTCATGAAATGACTTGGACAAAAAGTGAGAAATCGCCAACTTCATCTCTTCGACTCTCCCTAATCAAAAATGATCTTGACGAGTTCTTGGACATTTTGGAAAGCTTGCAATGTGCTCTATAACTAATATTTGAAATGCATTTTGAGATACCTCTTGGAACTAGGTGGAAAATTTCCATGAAGTTGGGTCCAAAACCTGCCTAAATTAGGGAAAAATTTCACTAAGTTATTTAGTTCATGACCATGTATTCACAAATTTATATCTTGAGATCCAAGCATATTTAGGGAAAACTGTGTGAAACAAAGTTGTAGATTTCATGGAGGTCTACAACTTTCATGTTGGTAACTTTCCTTGAATCATTATGCATCATGGTGAAAAAGTGGCCTAAAATTGAGAAAAAATAAGAAAAATTTCTATACTTAGAAAATTTCTAAGTTAGAAAAATTTTCAAATTCAAAACCCTAATTTTCAAATTTTGTTTTCTTGATGAACAAGTTTCACATTTGGAAATGTTTTGATGAATTATGACCCTTGGTACTTGTAGTTGTTTAGGTATTGGCTTGCATTTTTGGTAAAACCCAAGTGTATGTGTGAATGTCATGACTGATGTCATAACATTCTAGTTTAGTTTGTACTGACTCATTAGGTACCTTTGCAGAAAAATATTGTAATTCAAGTACTGATGCTTATAAGTGTGTATCTGAGCATTTTGCAAAATGATCACATTTTGCTAAATCAGTAGACAGGTTTTCTCAGATGTCATAACAGATGTTAAGACATCCTGTTCTGAACTAACAGGTTTGCAGGTTGGATAAGTCTGAGTTTTTTCAGGAAATAACTCAGTCTTTCCTGAACAGAATCCTGCGT